GTAAGAGTATCCTGAAATACTCAGTGTTTATAGTTAAATTTATTAATTTTATATTGTCGTTCATGAGTGGTAGCAGGTGTACTTAAAGTTTCATGGACTTGAGAGGTACTCTTAATCATAAGATTTAATGTATGATATTTTTCCGTTATACTTAATGTATATCAATGTGTATATAATTTCCAATTATATTGAGGTGAAATCCACTAATTATTTGTGTGTAAGAATGTGTAGGAAATATTTTAATAACATGCAGGTTTAAAGCGCCCTAAAATGGAGAACAAAGACATGACCTACATTATATATGCCTTGTGAAGGCTAGTCTTGATATGCATGCCTCGTGGAGGAGGCTATTAATGCAAAATGTTGTGGGGGATGTGCTTAAGCCCATAAGGGAATCACCTAGGGAGGTAACCCAACTTTTGTGATTGGAGATCCCATGAAGGAAGTTCAATGTGGTAGAAACAATCCATACTGCCTGACTCATATAGCACTCATAAAACTATGGAGATATCCTTGAGATATTCTTCTGCACATCCCTAAGGCAAAAGTGCTATTTTATGTGACGTCAGGAAGGGATTTATCCCTGAATGAGTTTCGAGGCGGGCAAACTCCTGCAGGGTGCAGGTCACATGTACTCTTGGAGAACTCACCTAAGTGAGAGACGTCGTGAGGCCGCGACTATGAGAATTGGGCTGTTCTCTAGTAACTCTCATGAGAATCAAGATGAGCGCATGGCCATAAATAGCGCTACCCCGCATCCAAGTCTCAACTAATACTATGTGTGGGATATGTTGAAGTTTGGTCAAAGGAGCCGAGTTCAATACTATGTACACTCAGGTTCCTCAAATGGAGACTATCATCACTAAGTGAAGGTTCAAGCTCGGAAGGCACCTACACCTATTACATAGAATTATATTGCCATATATATTATATATTTTTCACTGTTTTTTTGTAACGATAAAATTTTGAAAACCTTGTGGGGGATTGTTGGAATTTTAAAAAGGTTTAAAAAATTTAACCGTTTTATTTATTTAATTATTTTGGCTGTTTTATTTTATTTATTGTGGGGGGTTATAAATATTTAATATTCAGGTTTTATTTCTGGTTGGTGAATGCCTTAATTTTTTGGTTGGTGAAGGTTACATGTTTTTGGATGCCTATAAAAGGCCACTCCTCCTTCACATTTGGAATACACACAGTACACCATCATAATATCACATACCACAATCACCACCACAAACTAATTCTCTCATTTTCTACTTTTATATATATTCTCTACTTTATATCATTATTTTGGCAATGGTTCTGTGACTTGGATACCTACATCTGTCTATGAACGTGCTCATAGCGGATCTTGAGTTTGTGTACAAGGGGTCGTATCTTGGAGTCTTGTAGACTGTCAGTACCTGCACGTAGGGCGGCTACAAAGGCTTTAGGACAGCGTCTTTGACGTGCTTCACCGTACCAAACTCACCTTCTTACTTATTATTTATTTTCCTTTTACTTACCTATTATTTTATTTTGTTCAATTTCATTATACCTTAAAAGCTTTCCTATTTATTTATATGTTATTTATAATATAATATTTTTTGTGTTTGGCTTTACGGAAAAGGAAAACTATATTTTGTATATTTTTATAACAATCTAAAAAGGGGTTTCGAACCCATAACCTCTTTACTTAAAGCCCAACAGCTTACCACTACTCCACAAGGCAAACCCATAACCTCTTTACTTATACATTCCATTCAAAATCTAATCTTGATCTCAATTAGGGGTAAGTTGTTCACCTATTCGAGATGAATCACCTAGTCTAGGGTAAAGATATTTATTGCTTAAGCTAAGATAAGATTGTAGGATGAAGGAGATGGAAGTTGGGTGAGGAAGAGAAGGAAGAATAGGAGGAAGAAAGAAGAAATCTCCAAGGGTGAGTCAAATTTCGAATTTGTGATTTTTAACTTTGTGTTTGTGTGATTCTAGTCCCATAAAGAGTACTTTGAGTCACTTGAGTGATGGGGAAATTGAATTGGAACAGTTTGAACTTCCATTTTTGGGTTGGGTGTATAGAGCAATTTTTCAAGTGTGAGTGTTTATGATTTAAGTTCTGTTTTGAGTTTTTGATGAGTTCTAATGATAGTATGAAGTTTAGAAGTGTTATAGAAGCCTTAGGAACAACCTGGGGGGTGATAGAATTGTTGAAAACAACTTAGAACCAAATTTGGAAATTTGCATTTTCTGGAAATTTGTAGTTTCGCTCTCTTTTCCTCCCAATCCTTTACGTTTTTTAGGAATCCATTTGTTGTGTTTTAAAATAGACTTCGCAAAGAACAAAAACAAATTGGGTTCGTCAAATTTGGTTGAGTTTTGATACGTCAAACACATGTGCAAAGTTTGGAAAAAAAAACAACTCTGTTTTCTACACAAAAAAAACCAGCCACGAGCCCAATTTTGAAGCTGATTTTTTCTTTCGTTTTAGCTCCGTTTTCAATATGGTTTGTTGGGTTAGAAACTAGAGGTGTTAAGCTTTAAAACCACTGCAAGTTTGCCTAATTTCGTTAACTTTAGGTTGGTCAAAACGTCTTACAAAGTCTGGGTTTTGGTCTGGAAAAAACAAGGGAAATTTGCATATTTTTTTAAGAAGATCATGAACAGTAACGGGAAAACAAGCCCACTCGCGGCTCCGGCGCATGGTGGTTGTTTCAGCAGCCTCCGACGCCATATTTTTAGTTCATTCGACTTGATTTCTCGATCCGAGTCTGATGGTATATGTTTTGAGTCAATCCTAGGTGGTCCAAAGTATGAGTTGTTGTGGGGCCCACGGGACCCAAATGGTAACTTTTGGATAACGGGTGTCGTTGGCCTTGTTTCAGTTTTGAAAGGGCATAGGACAAAGTTTTAGATTATTTTGGATGAGATTTGGCCACTTTGGACCAAGGATGGACCCAGGAATCTCATCTCGTAGGGTCATAGGGTAAAAGTTCAATTTTTTTGGTGTGGGAGAGGGTTAAAGGTTTAGGGGGTGGAGATTGGGGATTTAGGTTTGAGGGTTTAGGAATGGGGGTTTTGGAGATGTTGAAGTCGGGAGGGTTGTTTTAAATCTATTCTAATTTTTTTTTTTTCAAAGACCTAGACCAAAACGACGTCGTTTTGGCCAGGTCTTTTTTTAAATAAAAAAAATCGTTTGGCTGGGCCAAAACGGCGCTGTTTTGGCCAGCAGGTTTTTTTTTTAAAAAAAAACAAAACAAAACAGAAGCGTGCTGGGCAGCTTCTTCTTCCTCATACCAGCAACCTTCTCCTGTAGCCATTCATGGGTCACACGGCCATTAAAGGGGACCTTCTACCTTGCTCTCATGGAGTCCATAGGGTCGTTTGACCCCATTGACTCCACTGTGGGTCCGTCCCTACTTTGGGACCTAAGGTTGATCCTAAGGGCATTTTCGTCCTTTTACATGCAAAATCTTTGATGCGGTTGGTCTTAGGTGAAATAGAGTAAAGACTGCTCAATAATAATTTGAATTTGAATTTGTTCAGGAATTGCATCAAAAGTGTAGATTCGACAACTCCAAGAACTTCTGAAGGGCAAATTTGGTGCTTTAGCTAGCTGGACATGACGTAGGGTTTCCTAATTTCCCGATGATTGGGCTATGTCACTTTAAATCTTGGTGCTTATACATAGTACGATAAAATTGTTGCTTTGCTCGGTGAGTATTACTTGATGTTATGTAAATATTATTATTGATCTTTCTCCGTGGATACAATTTGATGTTGGGTGAATATTATTATTCATGTGATTAAGCCTGATATATTATTGTTATTATTTGTATTATTATTCTACAAAGATAAATGATGTTTGCACTGCATTACATATGCATCATAAATACAATGGTGTTTGGGGTGTATGTGTCGTTCGAGATATATCTAAGGGGTGGGAGAAGACCTTAGATATATTTAAGTAAAAAAAAAAAGTGGAATATATTCAAGTGACGGGAGCAGGGCTTGAATATATTAAGGTGATGGTAGAAGACCTATAATGTAAAGTGAGAGTTGAGAAATTCGTAAACAAAAGAAAAATGGGTTAAGGGACGGATGGGCACTAGTTCATATTTTAGAGTATTCAAAGCCACAGTGGTAAAACTCATGGTATGGGACATCCAGGCTTGTTGCCCTAAGGTATGAATTAATGGGATTAGAAGGGAGCGAGTTCATGGCATCACCACATATGCAAATTTTTTTATCTGGTATGGTTGCATCATTTATGTATCTTGTGTTGTTTGATGCATGACACTTTGATTAACTGTGATAGTGACCTTAAGGGGTTTGATGGTACTCTACTGAGCATTAGAATGCTCATACCCTAATAAATTGTGTAGGATTCTAGACGAAATTTGAGGAAGTGGGTTTCAACCAAGCTACTAGGCTTTTGTTGTTGATTTGTATAATTAATATTTGTAAGTAGTCAACCGCTTGTTAAAGATCTTAGTGTGTATTTAACTACGAGCTACTGTGACTCTGATTTTGTGTTGTTAGGTAAATTTGTATTATTAGTGGCTCTATTTCTCATCATATCATGGTTGTAAGATTTTATTCTTATGACCGTGATATGACTCACACCATAATTCGGGAATATTTCTTATTTTCGAATCGGGTCTTAACAATCCTGTAGCAAGCCATAACGTGTGAGTGACCTTTGCAACCTTTGCATTTAAGACTGTTTGAGAAGCAGACCATTAGTCGTACTCACTGCAACAGAGTGCAATCACAGATGAATGCAGCTTGAAAACTCTGAATACTTATGTCCAATATGGCCAGACCATTAGTGTGGTCCTATCGAGGGTTGCCTGCATCAAAGTTAGGAGGTGAAGCATGCCCATTCTAATTAATTACATATTTTCTCAACTCTTTGATCACCTCTCAATTACATAGAAATCTAGCTACCTGTAAATATTGTCCTCACATCACATTTAACACACACCAAATTCTAATTACCACGCATATGCACTCATTCAAAGCTCATTCTCAAGCAACAGATCATTCTTTCTCAACTCAGATTTCAGCCCAAACACTACTTTCTCTGGCAAAATAATATTCACCGCTCTTCCTTCACCTCTACCCTCTCCAAAGTCTTTAGGTCCTGGCAGCAATAAAACAGCTCCTTCATCTCCAACACCTTGTATGTTATAATGCACATAAACCGGCTTATGCCCTTTCACTTCCAATCCATAGAAATCAGCATCTTCCCAATTCACAAACGTCAAATTGATACACAACAAAATCAGCCACTCCATTATCATTCTCCATAGCTTCTTCTATTTGGGATCTTTCGTTCCCGGCTTGCTTGACTCTCAAGGTTGCCAACTTTTTTGGATCCGCATCTGTAATGCTGAAATCTGCCTTGACTGTGCTTATAATCTGACTGTTGCTGCATTCGCCTCTTGTCCTCTCTTTTGGGTCATTTTTGCAAATTGTCACCAATTTTGGCTCTGATCCTTCTCTAACTTTGGCTGCACATTGCCAAATTATGGCAGAAATGAGTTCAAAAATTGGAATTTGATCAATTTGGTTTTGACCCAATATCTTGAATTGCAAGTTGTTTAGCTGGGTGGCAGTGATAGGGAATGAAAGTGTTTCCATTTTACAGTTAATGGGAGTTATCCAGTGGTCACCAACTGGGTTCACCTGTTTTATGGGGAGTGGGGGTGGTACGTTTTCAAGTTTCTGGAACTTTGTGTTTGATGTTGTATAGTTTGGTAGCCTATTGGGCTCAAGGGCAGACATATTTTGCCCTAAGCCGTTGATGAAATCGGAAGCTGCAAAGGCATCTCCCAACACGTGGGCCCAGCTAAGACCCAATGATATTCCTCCACATCTGAAATGAGTAACCTGCAGAGAAAGCATAATACACCAAAACAAAAAAGTCTAAGGAATTAACCTCATCAATATTCTGTTGTCAACTCAATGATACAAACCACTAAGGTTTTTGAGGTCCCTCTCATCCTATTAACCTAATTTAGCAAGATATTAAAGTACTTGAAATCAAGGTCTGAAATATCGGTGGTATCGGAAATATCGAAAGTCTAAAAACACGGAAATATCGAAGGAAATATTGGGATATTATCGGTATCGGTAAAAATTGAATAAAAACCAAGGAAATTGTAAGAAAAACTTGGAAATTTTTATTGAAACTTTGCAGGATGTTTATTTAGTCAATTATCTATTAGTTTATCACAAAAAATTGGAAGGAAATGCATTGCATGATGGATTTAACTGATTTAAGTTGATTATATACAAGGACGGAACTAGCAAGAGGCTCACATGGGCTATAGCCTAGGGCAAAGTTTTCTGTGTAAGCCTCAATATATAAATAAACATATTACAATTCAATGTCAGCCCATTAGCATAACACGACAAGATCTTTTTTATATAAATAAAAAAAAAAGGGAAAGGAATGTAATAGCATGTCATTAAAATAAGGACCACAATACTGTTCGGTGGGTTATCCAATTAGGGCAACAACAACAATTATTAAAATATTAATGTAATAGCATATCATTGAGCCCATAAGAAAAAAAAAATTAGCCCACCTCTACAAAAATTCCTGGTTCCGCCATTGATTATATAGCGAGCTGACAAATACTGTAAGTGTAGAAAATATGTAGTAATTAATGAAAGAAGATTAAACACACCATAATCATTTATATATAATGAATTACTACAATATTTTACACTTTATACATTGCATGGTAAGATACATAAGTGACTTAGTACCACATAGAGTTCCTATGAGGTTCAAAATTTTCACTATCTTCATCATCTCTATGTGTAGAGTAAGTATATTTTGAAGAGTAGTCATCAAATGATAAATCCCCAAAATAGTTTTGCATGTAATTGTTAACATGCCACCCATATGGATCCGAGATTGGTTGACGTTGTCCATAAGCAAAATCATTTGAAGATTGAGTCTCGGATTCTTTCCATGAGTCGCTTGATTCCATCCCAACAGGAATGGGATATGAAGGGTAAGGAAATGGTTGCCAACAGGAATGGGATATGAAGGGTAGGGAAATGGTTGGTTATGAGTATAACCATAATTACTACTTCCTACTCCAACAGAGTTCGAAGTTATAGATAACGAGTCATTTTCTTGACTTGACAAAGTCCTCTTGCCTCTTTCTCTACAAGTCATCTTCTTGACTTCACAAAAACGTAAGTGATATGGTGGTTAAGGTGTTGAATGAGTAAAATGGGAGGGGTTCGAATCCCTCTATGCGCAACAGGGGAGGCTTTTCAAAAAATTTCATGTATTTTTTGGGTTTCGTATCGGGATATTATCGATAATATCTCGATATATTGCCCAAATCATTCATAAAAATGTTGAAGTTATCTCCCCGATAATATCTGGATAATATCGATATTATGACGATAACACCATGGTTAGTTGCTAAAATATCGGCCCCCCAAAAATCAGATATTATCAGGATAATATCGGGGATAATATCGATATTTAAGACCTTGCTTGAAATATTATCATATATATCCTGCTTGGTATAAATAGCAACAAGAATAATTCTATATCATATCATTTCATGTACTTCAATCAAAACAAACATATAAAAAGAGGGAGTGACTTTTTTACAACTTCTAACAGATTGCTGCATCTTTTTTTGGGTTATGAGCTTAATTTTAGGGTTCTTTTATGTATGTAAAACTTTACCTCGAAGAGAACAAGTGGAGAGAAGAATAGTTCAGGTCCAATGACTTGGTTTGAAACAAGCAGCTTCTGGTGAGACAAGTCCATCTCTAGCCATTCCTCAATGGTCTTGTCACACTGGGCTTCAAGGAACCTCACCCCACAATCGTTACACTTGAGATAGGGCCGGCCGGATTCGGATCTCCGAAACCATCCGCATGTCCGGTAGTGTACATTTAGCCAAGTGAACGTAGCTTCTTTTATGCGCACTATGGTTAGCCAAGTGAACGGAACAAACGACGCCTTGAGGCGATTTGCTGCCGCCTCGCTCCGACGCGCGCGAAGGCATGCCTTTGAAAACACTGGTTTAAACTATCGCTTCTATTAAAAAAAAGTTCTCACCGTTATCAAGTCCTTCTTCCAACTTGTTATCGAAAATAGGGTCCTTGTCTGTTCCAAATTGCAATCTTGGACGAATGTTCAAAATTAGTCCACACCGCACTATTTTTTTAACCAGATTTTTAGATAATTAAATAGATATATTAATTAGTGTAGTGATATTTTCTTTTCAATGTTGGAAAAGATTTCAAGTATGAACCTATTGAGTTAAAAATAAATTCAATTGACAAAATATATATAAATTAGTTTGTTCTTCTTTCTTTATTTTATGAAATTTAAAATTAAACTGGAACACGAAGCCTACCTATTTGAATTTTTGCTTTTTGTTCCCTATTTTTGAATTAGAGTTACCAAATCCATTTGCTAGACGGGATAAGGTGTTTTTTGCTGATTCTTTGTCTCACTTTTTCAGGATTAGGCTATGCCTGTCTGCACTATCTGAACATGAATTGGTTTTGTTTGCGTTTATATATGCTAGGGTATTTGTTTAATTGCCAGAAATAAATGGGTGATGCAGGGAATGGACAAATAAGCAAATGTCATAATATTTGAATCCATAGCCTTCCACAACAAAGTGTGTAGACCAAATGAGCAAATGTCATCATGGTCATTTTAGTTTCTGCATACTTTTGAACTATCAAATACTATCACATAAGTAGTCACATACATAAAAGATTGTGTATAAATTAAACATTCTGTGGATCGGTACATCAAAAGTGAAATATTCTCCGATTCCATACTTGAAAGACTTTATTTCATATGTATTTCCGATAATTTCATAACTTAATTAGAAGAAACTGTTAAGAAAGAAAATGAAGTATTAGGGATCACATTGTCACCTTTATTACCTCAAAGCGCTACATTTGATAGAAAAAATTAGAATTGCTTCCACATCGACCGCATATTACCTCAAACAGACACCTAGAAGCATTGATCTATGGACACCATAAACACCTATATTTGCTTTGCAACTATATATAATAAAACATACAGGTATAAACATCATGCAAGAGCTGAATTGTCCTCCCCTGTTTTTCTATAAACCCCAAGAAAGTCTTGGCCTTTTACAAACCAAACAAACCGATCAGTTAAGTATTTTATTGCAATGCATGATATAAATTGACAATGTTTGCCTAAAAACAAACTCCTTGAGCCTTTTTATCACCGAAAATTGCACCTTAAAATAAAAGCAAACACAAATTACAGATTTTCCAATAGAGAAGCTTACAATTGACCCTTGGAATATGAGAAATCTTGGGCTACTCGGGCGTCTCTCCCTGTTGATGTGTTCTACAGTTTCCAATGTGCAGCTAGATACTACAGATTCCCATAACTACAAATACAAATACACAATTTTTCAACACATGAAAGGTAGGTTCGTCAACTTCTCTGGTAAACCCTCCAATCCATAGAGAGATGAACATGACAATTTGTAGCATATTTCGAGCCAGCAAAACAGAGTTGCAAGATTCTAGCCCATGACAAAAGGTAGGTTCCTCCCGTTAAATGTTTTCCGATTTGCCTTTGAAAGTTAGTACATTTCCCCTTGCCCACAAAAATAAAAAGTTAGCACATTTCCCTACACCTAGGCATATTCAATCCACATCAAAACTTCGTCTCTCTCATCCATGCCCTTCTCACTCTATTAGCTTGCCTCAAAACCCCAAAAGCAAAAACAGAAGCAAAAGCAAAAATACCACTTTCAATTCTAGAAAAAGAAAAAAAGAACATAACATTTTTTTCTTCATGCAAAGGTACTTTATTCCAGATCGCAACAGTTGAAAAGTAGTAGATTGGGGCCACACAATGTATGGCATAATGCAGGCATGAGTTTCTACCTGAATCCCAACTCTGCCTACAGGTCAAATATAACACCAAAACAACTTAGGAAAAAAATATACAAAATAAATTCCAACTTTCAACAAATCATTGTACAAAGCTTGCAACTATCATCTATAAATTGCAACAGAAGATTGTTTTACCTGATTCCTGTGGACAGTACATTAAGAAAGACTTGGTACGTACTCTAGGACAGTACATTAATTTCAAGATTCAAATTAAATCCCACACTACTAATCAAGAAAATATCCATGATCCCACATTAAATCCCGTAAGTTTCAAATTACTTGAAGTTTATATCAATTACAAACAAGAAATGGGTTGACATGCCAACCAACAAAAGTTATACACACATCACGGCATTAGAGAACAGAGTATGTTTGAACAATATTGGTATGGTACTGAAACTTATGCTTAAGATGTAAATATTTGTCAATGGTTATCACAGCATTCAAAGAAACAACGAACTCCACTCCACTTCATTTTTTGTCCTTGGAGAGGATGAATATGCTAAGAAAATGTGAAAAGTCCTGCAGATTTGCATAAATTACATGGTGCAATAGAGAGAGCATTCCTCCATTTCCTTCTTCTTTGTTCTGTTTCAATTAAGTTGTTACAATGCAAATAAATCCTCTCTATATATCAATCTCTCTCTCTCTCTACCCACCCCCTCAGGCCCTGAAAATAAAAAACGAAAATGCTCAGCCTTATTAACTTCATATAACATAAATACTGAAATTAACAATGCACAAGAATATTTACTAAGACTAGACACATTACCTCTAAACAAGTGGTGATAAAGAATCCACAAGTGGTGACAAGTGGTTAGACTCAAGCAGACAACCAATACTGATTAAAACCTAAAACAAAAATAAAAAGTGAATGCAGATTAACTCCTAAACAACATAAATTACTCAAACTTGTAGACGAAGACCAACATCTGTGTCAAAGCAGAAATTAAACAACTTAAGATCAACTCATTGGTAATATTTCACAAACAATAGCAATATTATCAAAAATTAAGTAGCCAAAAACCTCTCTAGGTACTCGCAGCGATAAACTATGCTAATATAATTAAGATTGAAAGCATGAGTTTAAAATAAGTATGGATGCAGTTAAGACAAATTACTAAAATCTTGTTTACTTGATACTTTCTGCAATTCTTTATAAAATCAGAAATTAAAAAACATCTTAAGCCTTCCTTTCAAGTCTTTCCCCATAAAAGAGAAAATTATATTGGAAATAAGAGACAAGCCCATTACAACACAAGTGGAAGGGGGAGTTTGAAAACCTTACATTTCTTCACTATCAAAGTTGAAGCTATTACGAATTCATTGTATGCGTGGAGTCAATCTGTCTGCTGTCTAGTCCAAAACAGACAAGAAAAAGGAGAAGGATAAACAAGTCTTATTCCTTTGAGAAATGATTCAGAATGAATAAACTTGAGTTAAACCGAAAGGTGAAGAATGAAAAGGAAATTTGTCTTCAGGAAAGAAGAAATTACTTTCGATATTTGGAATGTGAGAAATCTTGGGCCATTCTGGGCCGCTGTCCTTGGTGCATCTTTCCTCCAAAAGGGGACAAAACCAAATGTCTAGGGTTTGTAATTTGGTGAGGCATTGCATAGTTGTGACACTAGGTAGATACATGAGATTCTTGCACCAGTAAATCGACAGCGTCGTAAGGGATGTAAGGTTACCCACCCAATCCTCAAGAGCATCCACTCCATCGAATTTGCGTATCTCCAAAGATGTTAAAGAAGTGAAGTGTTGAATTTGTTGAGGCAGAGACTTGAGCTTGGGCCACCCAATCAACTCTAAGCTTTGAAGTTGTGATGAACCAGTTCCAAGATGGAAATCAGGGAAGGAATCGAGCTCCTCCCAGAACCCACCAAGTTCCAATGTCTTCAAACTAGAGCAGCAGTGTAGCCTTGTGGGCAGATATTTTAAATTCTCACAATTAAAAATCACCAACTGACAGAGAGATGTGAGGTTGTCTAAACTTGGAAGACTCTCTAAATTAGGGGCATTTGTTATTTCCAACGTCACAAGAGAGGCGGGCAGTTGTAGGCCACTACTCACCAAACTTTCTAATCTCTCACATCCGTTAATGTCCAATTCACGGAGGGATGTGAAGAGGTTTAAAGTTGGAATAGATTGTAGACCACTACAAACTCTTATACGCAGCAACTCTACAACAGAGACGGGCCCACTACTCACCAAACTTTCTAATCTCTCACATTCGACAATGTACAATTCACGGAGGGATGTGAAGAGGTTTAAAGCTGGAATAGATTGTAGACCCCCACATTCAGTTATTCTAAACTGCACAACAAAGACAGGCCCACTACTCACCAAACTTTCTAATCTCCCACATTTCTTAATGTACAATTCACGGAGGGATGTGAAGAGGTTTAAAGCTGGAATAGATTGTAGACCACTGCAATGATCTATATTAAAGTTCACAACAGAGACGAGCCCACTACTCACCAAACTTTCTAATCTCTCACATCCGTTAATGTCCAATTTATGGAGGGATGTGAAGAGGTTTAAAGTTGGAATAGATTGTAGACCACCACAACTCCGTATACGCAACTCCACAACAGAGACGGGCCCACTACTCACCAAACTTTCTAATCTCTCACAATTTTCAATGTCCAATTCATGGAGGGATGTGAAGAGGTTTAAAGCTGGAATAGATTGTAAACTAGGGCAATTATCTACAGCCAACTTTCGAAGAGATGCACAACAAACAAAGACATCAGGGGCAATACAAGTTAACTTCTTACACTCTCCTATCTTCATACGTTCTATCTTTAACAACATCCCTTTAGGCAGACATGTAAGCTCCTCATTACCTTGTATCTTCAACTTCTTCAGAGATGGAAAATGACTGGGAATCGTTCTCAATTTGGGACAATTCCAAATATCCAGCTCCTCTAGGCAAGGAAACACCGTGACTTGTTCTGATGTTTCCATCCATTCTATTAGCTCCTCGCAATTACAAATGTGTAATTCTTCCAGTGCTGGAAATACAACTACTTCCCTTATACCTGCCGTTGCCTCGTCATAAACAAGATCGGTTCCATAAATCTCTGCTCCAACACATTTTAGATTATTCATTGAATCAATCCAAACAACTGTAAGACAAGGTAGATGGCCGAGTGTTGGGACTTTTTCACATCTTCTGCACCCCGTAAGCTTAATCTGCTTTAAATTGTCAAGCTTAATCAACCATGATGGAAATTTGAAACCCATGAAATATTGAATCTCTAGCCTTTCCAACTTAGAATGCGGTTGGAGGCCTTCTAGTACATCTTCATTATTATTGTTGGTTATTGACATATATGCAGACCATATAAATTTCAAGTGCCGTACATTTTTCTTCTCCTCTAATTTAGCTTTCCTTGCTTCATCTCCATTGCTTACCTGTTCCAAATTATAAATAATTAGATCACCTTTCAATTGATTCAAGGCAGCCAGCTCTTCAATTTCCCTGCCCATCTCCTTACCCACATTAAAGGGAGGTAATGTTCGGAGGCTAGTTAATCTCCCTAATACCCCAGCTGGAAATTTCGTTTCCTCTTCGAAATAAACATATCTCAACTTGATCAAGTTTTGCACGTCTTTTGGAAATTCTTCAAGGTTGAAGCAGTATGTTGCTCTTAATGTCTGTAGGTTATATAGCTTGCCAATAGAATTTGGGAGACTTTTGATTCCTGTTCGGGAAATGTCAAGATACCTCAAGTGTTTCAGCTTTCTAATTGAACTTGGGAGCTCCTCAATATTTGCCGCATATAATTTTAAGACACGTAAAGCTTTAAACCATGGCAACATATTTCGAGGTAGTGCTCTAGCATTCGAAAACAGTGATCTCAATTTCCCACTACTTCCTTCTGAAATTCTTTCTATAATACTGGGAGTTGCAGCATCTTGAATCTTGGGGAAGCCTCGCATCATGCTTCCAGATTCGGATACGCGTTCTGCAAGATCGTGCAAGAGATCGTGCATCTTGCATTGAATAACAATGCCATCATCATCCACTTTAGCCTCTTGAAATAAGGAGCTTTGGAATAGAATATCAAAATATTCATTACCTATATCCTCCATCTCTAGATTAGTTTTTTCTGGGAGAAATCCTTGAGCCATCCAAAGTTGAATCAAGTCGTCTCTTTTCATTATGGCATCTTTCATGAACACTGAGCAATAAGCAAAACATTGCTTCAGTTCTAGTGATTCCAAATCGCTGAAACTCAACTTCAAGACTGACATGATTCTATCTTCTCCCTTTGGTAAGTCCCATATTCTACTGTCTTTGACTTTAGACCATTCAGCAGTAGTCTTTTTAGAGCGCAAAATGCCTCCCAAAACCTGGTAATGGATTAGAGGATTTCTATCAAATAATAAGTAGGATAAAATAATTAGCAATTTAAAGAAGAGTCATTTAGATATAGCCCCTTGCAACTAAAATAGTCTGGACAAAAACCGACATATTTCTAACTAAAACCCAAATTTTGAATTAACGCCAAAATTATCCATTAATATTGATTTATTAACAATCCCATGCCATAACGCCCTATGTTTAGCACCGCATGGATTCTCCCTTTTAAATCCCCTTAGAAATCGACAATCTTCTTTCTCTTCCTTCAGACCTTGTTATTTCCTTCTACATAAAAATTCATCAATGCAAATTCAAAATAACCCATTCATGATATGATCCCTAAATTCGCAGAAATCATCCAATAATCTATAAAATTATAAATAAATAAAAATGTCTGATGTAAGCAATGCTTGTATAAAAAAAAAATATATATATATATATATAGTACGTGTACCTTTGCCATCAATGGTAGACCATCACATTTTTTAGCAATCTCCCGTCCAATACTCTCTAAATGAAGAATATCAGAACTACCATTTGTGCAAGCTGCATGTTTCAATATGGACCAGCATTCATCTCTTGATAGACGCTCCAATTCAGGCCGCGGAAGTGTTTCTGTGATTAATGCAACTTGGGCACTGCGGGTAGTGACAAAAATTGTGCTTCCCTGAGCTGATTCAAGCTTTAACAAACAATTCATCAACTCATTCCATTTTTCAGAGTCCCAAACATCATCAAGAACGAGTAAATATTTTTTCCCCTTCAGCTCTTCTTGAAGGCGTATAAGCAGTGCATCCTGACTTTCTCTTGGAACATTTGATCTGCTAAGAGATTCTAACATGGAAATTAAAATCATTTTGACGTCAAAAGGATCAGATACGCACACCCATACTTTTTTATCAAAATACCCTTCTATAGAATTATCATTGTATACAGACTTGGCCAAAGTTGTCTTTCCTAGGCCTGCCATTCCCACAATGACCATAACAGCAAGATTTTCTTGATTGATGTTGGAGTTGGTCAAGGTTGTAACTATGTTTGAGACAACCTCCTCCCTGCCAACGATGATTCCATCTTTTTCAGGAAATGAGTCGGTTTGTATGCGTCCTCTAATTCCTTGAGGGGCAGCATCTATTTTCTTGGAAACTAGTCCAATGACAGGAGCCTCACTCTTGAGATCCACCAAGGATGCATTGATCTTCTGAATTTTATGTGCAATTTTAAGGCGGAATGCGACCGGGTTGGAGATTGAAAAGAAGTTGAGTACCTTTTTCTTCATATGATTTCGGATTTCTACTTTGCGCCGGAGAAGTTCATAGTTGAATTCATCCAAGACATCATCTGCATCTTGAGCTAGGCGTTTAAGATTCGTCACCCAATCTTCTACGGACTTGCTCCGACCTTGTGGTCCCTGGGCAACGTCGGCTAAGTAACCTTCCATGGTGGACAGTGTTTTGCGAAGCCTGTTTAGTTCAGCTTTGAATCCCCAGGCAAGACTGATTTCTTGAGCAGCAAGGTCAGTCAGCTTCGTCAGTATTCGCTCGGTCGCAAAAGTAAGCACAGAATCTACTGCCATCTTAGTTTCCTTGTGTAACCCTGCGCAAGACAAACAGCAGATCATATTAATGCTAGTTAATTATTATTAGTTAATTAATTAAGAAACGAGAAGAAGAGACTGAAGACGGATGGATGAAGACGCACAGGCACAGAGCTTCTCTCGTAGGTAGAAGGAGAAGGAGATGATGAATGCAGATTTGCAAAACAAGACAGCAATAGCACGCAGAGACTGACAGAGGAGCTATATAGCTTCCTTAACTCTCAGGACAGTAGGAGACTTAAAAGTCTTGCTGGGCTCTACCATTTTGATATTTGTGGACACATGCATTTCTCACCAACTGATCATGAGATACCTCCAATCTACTTTATAAAGTGGTTCTGCATTACCACCATGGCATTTGTCCGGTGCTGGTGGTACGGACGAATAATGAGCCGACACCTGAACAGCTGCTACTATCTACTTTATACCGTGGTACTGTACTACCAACGAATAATGAGACTACAAACAATTTCATGAAAAAGCAATCAAATGTTACATTAAGTTCATGAGAAAACAAAACGGTTAAAAGCATTTTTAATTACTAGAGTTAGTTAGGCATGAAAACAATTTTGATCACCGTAATTTTAATTTTCCCAATTTAACCATCATTCTCTCGCCATTTTAACCTAAGTTTGAACATCATCAATCAATTTTGTTTTTTAGAATGAGAAACCAACATATTATACAACATGTGTAATTTGCATATATCTGGCATGATTTCGAGAGACATAAATAAAAATGGACTAATATATATATTTTAACAAAACATGTTGGAAGAAATGATTGCACGTCCTTCACGGATGGCATCCAAAGCTTATCCTATAAATAAGGCTTTCCCCTCCCCTTGTAATAGCCACCGACACTTCCAGTCCAGAGAGAGAAAGAGAGCCAAAGAAATTCTTCAATATGGACAAAATAGTGAGCTACTTTAGTGATAGTTTAAACACAGGTGTATCCAATTCAAAATTTTAAAGATTTTTTAGAATTTAAAAGTTTCGAGGTATCCAATTTGAACTTTTAACTATTTCATAAAATCTTAGTAGTATTCAATTGTGATTTTTTAAAATTATGGGTTAAATACTTTTTTGGTCATTAGGTTTTACACGAAAATTCAATTTGGTCACTTAGAAAATTTTTTAGCTAAATTGGTCACTGTGTTTCCCAAAGTTTACAATTTATAGACATTCTGTTATCTTTCGTTAAATGATGTTTTTATTATTTATTTTTTTTAGGAATCACCTTCAGTCTTCTTCCTCTAACTCAACCAGTTATGGTATATTGTGCTATTAGAGTTCAGGAAATTGAGGGAAATCTTGGGTTGAATTCAAAATTGTGAGGTATAAGGAAAATAGAAAAGCAAAACCAAATTAAAATTAAATCAACAACTTATCAATATATTTTGGTGCTTTATCACCTTGATTACGTCTCCTTTTCATCCAAAGTCACAATACGGTTCTCACTCAATCGATTCAGGCTTCAATATAACACCCAATTTGTGACCTTATACCTCATCATTTCGATTTCAACCCAAGATTTGTCCCCATTTTTAAAACCACAATAACCTAACTCTTTGAGTTAGAGGAAGAAGTTTCGTGAAAATATAAAAATAAAAACTGCACTTAATGGAAGTTAACGGAAGATAACGAAACGTTTATAAATTGTAATCTTTTGGAAACACAGTGACCAATTTGGCTAAATTTTTTTCTCAATGACCAAAAAGGTATTTAACCCTAAAATTATTAACGAGTTTATAAAAGTTTAGTGGTATTCAATTCTGACTTTTTAAAAGTATTTAAAAGTTTGGTGGAAAAGGTTACTGCTGTTGCTTTTAGGGAATGTAGGCACAACTTGCCAAACCTCGTTAAATATTGTGTCTCATGTATTTCATGTGTAGCTTTATATTATGCATTATTTGTTTATTTTACAACAACATGTCTTTGTATCTTCTTGAATTTCATTTGTAGCTAGTTTGGAAGTTTAGTGTCCACAATCTCATTTAGCCAAGTCACCCTAATTTGTCCAAATGTCCCATTTAATGTATCCAATCCATATTTATATAGATTTTTTTTAAGTGAGTGAATTTCATAGAGTTGACAAATTCTTAAATACTTTCATAGAATTGATAAAGTCACTAGTAAATTCGCAAGACTTTTGCTATTAACAATTAGCCTTAAAAGTATGTAAAAGTCATTTATTTAATAAGCTTTTTTTGAAGTCATTAAGTTTTTGGATACCATCAAACTTTTAAAAATCACCAAACTTTACTACTTTTTAAAAGTCATAATTGAATAAGAGTTTTTATAAAAAATAGCCAAAATTTAACCCCCAAATTCATAAATGTTAGTTTTTAAAAAAACTTTCAAATATAGCCAAAAACTCACTTAAATTGACCTAAATGCCCTCTAAATTATAACTCAATTACACCTAAAAGCTAAAACCCAAAATAGCACAGGAGCACAAAAACAAAATTGGCTTGGTCAACTTAATCATGCCTACGAATCCTATCATAAAAATGACAAGGTAATTATCAAAAAGAAGAAGAAAAGGAAAAGCCGATGTTTTCATAAATCCAGGCAATAAAAATCATCTCTACGGCTATGGCTTGAATCAGTGGGTTTGAGAGTTTTTTACAATAAAAAAAGTTAAAGTCAGTTTCTTTATATAATAATTTTTAATTGAGAAAAAAAAGTTGAACTTTCTTGCAAAATTCGTATCATAAATACTACTGGTCTGCATATGATATCGAGGGTTAAACTTTCTTGTAAACCATCATATGTGCAAGGCCCTCACTGTTCACAGACTATCTTCCCACAACACAAACTTGCCTATATTAACTTTGCTTTCCATTAAGGGCGATTGGCGAGGGTAGTATCCTTGTGTCTAAGGGTAGGCTAGGTGGAGACTGGAGAGTGAGGCTCGTGCTCAGTAGCTTACGGCTTGGAAGAGCATGCTTTTTGGTTAGGGTTTAATTTAGAGGGCATTTGGGTCAATTTAAGTAAGTTTTTGGCTATATTTGAAAGTTTTTTAAAAACTGACATTTATGAATTTGGGGGTTAAATTTTGGCTATTTTTTATAAAAACTCATTGAATAACACCTAAACTTTTAAATACTATTTAAAAGTCACAGTTGAATACCTCCAGACTTTTTAACTCTATAAAAGTCTTTAAAAGTTAGAATTGGATACACCCCCTTAGACATGTAGGGGGTATATCCAATCCATATCGATTTCATATGGTGGTATCCATATGCGCTTGTGGCTTATAGGCATGGTGTCTAATTTATTAATACAATTATCGTTTTTCTCAAAAAAAAATTACAATAAGAGGAATGGTCGAAGATCTTTTACAACCCTTATGATATGATGTACGTTAGGAACATACAAGGGGTAATAGTCCCCCAACTTCTTCTTCCGAAATATTATCTTTATCCCGCCTTTCGAAACTTGATCTTTTAGAACTTGGAGGGCTTTGTCCTAAATCTATAATATAAGTATTGTATTCACCTACTGAGAAACTACAAACTATGCCAAAATAATTATTGATCCCATCGGGAAAAACCAAGATATACGATGCAGTAAGTAAGAGAGGAAAAAGGTATAGCAAAGCTTACGTTTGCTTCACTGCAAAACTACCAGCAATTGGGGTTGGTTGTTTTTAAAAGTTCTAACTGAAATGGAAGTAATCTTTCACAACTGGGACATCTTTCTCTTTAATGGCCTCTCTGTAAATTCCTATTAAAAGTGCCCTACAAAAGATAACAATAAACACGTTTTGTTCCTTTTTAATATGATTTAGAAATCTGTCACAAGCACAACGGGAGTCATTTTTGCCTGGCCAAAATACGTCATCTAAACAATTTCAATTCTTGTATCTTGGAGGAGACTTACAAGTAAAACTCAGTAACTACTAATAATCCAAAAATAAAAACTTGAGAAAAAAAAAATCTAATACGCACTTGTCTCAAGGGTAAAAAGAAATTTAAAAAAAAATTGAGTATCATAGCCAAAGCGCGCAAGACCCGATTTGGAAAATGGAAATTAAAGGACAGCAATTTTGGAAACACAGTGCGATGAACAATTATGGAAGGAGGCCAACCAACGAATGCAACTACTTTCCCTTTCCTTCTATCTTACATTTCTTGTAAATAAGAGTTCTATGTTACAAATCAAAATTGTGGCTAGTTTCTCTTAAATGCTCAATTAGAATGAGCTTCTCAGCTCCTAAGCAAATGAAAACAAAAATTGCACAAGCTTTTATATATCTATCTCCCTTTCTACGCAACCCTTCACTTGGTCGCACTTATGAAAATTTCCGTTTTGAATGAATTAGCTGTTGGGGAAAACCAGCCCTTGAATCCAAATAGCCCGCCCGGTCCTGCAGCAAGCCATAACGTGTGAGTGACCTTTGCAACCTTTGCATTTAAGACTCTTTGAGAAGCAGACCATTAGTCGTACTCACTGCAACAGAGTGCAATCAGAGATGAATGCAGCTAGAAAACTCTGAATATATGTCCAAGGTGGCCAGATGCCTTTCTAGCTTCGGTCTAGTGTGGTCCTATCGAGGGTTGCCCGCATCAGAGTTAGGAGGTGAAGCATGCCCATTTCAGTCAATCAATATGGAATGACATACGGTAGAGCATGAACATCAGCAGACTCTATCCGCAGAGCCTCTGACCATACCTCAGGTGTCTCCTCAACCCCTGAAGATTCCACCTTGGGCTTCTTTGATTGGTTACCACTGCACCCAAACAACCAATCTTCATCGTCATAATCAGGCACTTCGTCCACCTTTGGAACCAAATAAACCTGGCTTAGATATCTGGAATCTGGATGGGGTGGTCTCACAGATGCTTCGGCAACAGGAACAGCCTGTGCAGCTGTAGAAGTCAGCTTTGCAGGGGAGACAGACAATGACGGAGCTTCAATGATGCCATTTATCTTGCGGTCCTTATTGTCCACCTTAACATTATTTGCTGATCCCAGCCTATCTGAAACATACGGGGTGGAAGTTTGGCAAGGTTCCACTGTTCTTCCATTAATTGTTAATGGATGTGAGGAAGAAGAGGGTCGCGGCAGTTTACTGGGCCTAATGTCATTGGCTGTAACATCAGAAAAGGAAGCATCATTAGTCAGCTAAGAATAAATGACCAGAGTTTGAACCTGCTTGGCAAAATTGATTCAACATCACTGCCAATTGACGGATACCAAAGTGAAAAACATTATTATTTGGAATCAAAAGGAAACAGTGGAGATCAGGATCTGACATTAGGTCCAAAAACTATACCTACAACCTCCTCCCTCAGTTGTAGGAAAAAGGGCCAACTTGTGTTAGACAACTATAAAGCATGATTGGGCTGCAATGATGATACTTTACATCATGAAAAAGAACTCACCATGCAAAACTCCATTTGTCTGCAAGTCCTTTCGTTTCTTAAGATTTCCATCAGCACCAGCACTTTTGTTGCTGTCTTTCGGAAGTTGGGAGGTTATAACGTAATGAGGGTCTATATGATCCTCTTTATTGCTCTTTCTTATTTTATCTGGCTCTGCACTCTTAGATTCATTTTTCTCCTTTGCTTTCTCTTCCTTTTTCTTCTCTTTATCCAGCTCTGCATTCTTAGATTCATTTTTCTCCTTCGCTTTCTCTTCCTTTTTCTTCTCTTTATCCAGCTCTGCAATATTAGATTCATTTTTCTCCTTTGCTTTCTCTTCCTTTTTCTTCTCTTTGCCTGGCTCTGCATTCTTAGATTCATTTTTCTCCTTTGCTTTCGCTTCCTTTTTCTTTTCTTTATCCTTGTCCTTGTCTTTCCCTTGTTTTTTCTTCTCTTTATCTTTCTCCTTGCGTTTCTCTCTTCGTTTATCATCACCTTCCTTCTCTTTGGTCTTTTCTTTTCCATCAATCTTTCTATCCACGTTGCTCCCCAATGGTCTGGAAAGTCCTTCAACTTTAGTTTCAACCATACCAACAGGGTTCTGAACCATTGTGTTCCCACTAATCTGTGCTGCAACCCTGACTCCTTGCCCATCCGTCTTTCTGTCATCAACTCTCTTGTCCTTGTTCTTTTCCTTGACTTCAGCCAAAATGTCAGCATCCTTAGCCACCAATCTGACCATCCCCTCATCCTTCTTTCGGTCTGATTCAGTAATCTTCTCAACCACATGGTTACCAATTCCTCTGGCCTCATCTTTAGTTCTCCTACCCAACTCCAACAATACAGAATTGTGGTTCTCCACAGCCAGATGACGATTTTGACTGAGCTTCTCGGCCTGATAACCTCCAACTTGCCCAGTATATCTCTTGTCAACACAATTATCTTTGTACTCTTTAGGAATGAATTTCTCTGCACCAAAACTCTCAGTTTTCCCTGGATTTCTCTTCTCATCAGAAGGACTAATTTTATCTTTAACTGGGTCCCTGTCTTTCTCCTTATCCTTCTTGTCTCTGTTTTTTTCCTTCTTGTCTTTCTTTTCCCGATGCTTTCCATCACTTCTGTCTTTCTCACTTTTTTCTTTACTTTCTCTCTTCTCTTTGTCCTTTTTTTCCTTTTTATGCCTCTTTTCTCTGTGCTTCTCCTGTAATTTATGAAAATGTATAGAATAATAAAACATATGCATAAATACTCAAGAAACAGAAAAAATATATGCTCGGAGAATTGTGTTGGAAGTTTATTTACAAGAACTAAAACTGAAAAACAAGTTTCAGGGGATCAATACGGATTAATATCAATAAGAACTGCCTTGCAAGACGTAGCAAACAAAAATAACCATAACTAAATCTCAGTGAATTCCTTCAGTCATTAGACCCTGTACTACTAGTGATGTCTCTGAAGTATTTGGCCAATGAATTCAATTTAAAAATCTTTCCATGTTCCAAAAGTACCCCCAAACCCTTGAAAATCCGTGCAGTGCTCTTTAAAAAATTCCCAAAAACCAGAAAAGGACACAATACAGCAACACGTTGCACATTTCACATAGTTTTTGCACACTTGAAGCCATCAAATGCATAGTCTCTGAAGAAATACAACATTCTGTGAATTGTACACCCAAAGTGAAATCTCTAATCAAACCATCATTCATTTGAAAAACCTTGTTTTATACATAACGGAAGGGGCAAATAGAAAGCAACCCTGTTTTATAAGTAATAGAATTAATTCACAGGTATAGAAGTACAAAGCAAGTACTTTAGGATCACACCACCAACCTTCAATAAGAGTGCATTTAAGAAAATATAATTTCGCGTATAAGAAGGTGCAGAAATAGGATATAAAACTACAAACGCAATCCACCCAAAACAAAGATTCAAGACAAGCAAATCAGGAAAAACAAACAACAAAGAATATTAGAACATTTCAAACACAACTCAATAACATAAGAAGATCATCATAAAGCCATCATCAGCAAGGTGAAGGCAATACAACAAAATAAAACTTATTTGTTTCGCAGACAACATCCTATGCAATGTCCACAACAAAGGTGAGCATGACAATAAGATAAACCCGTGTTTTAATACTCCAAAAGCTAACGACAGAAGCACAGGTAACAATTATCCATACTATCCACTCTCCCACTCATCATAATATACCTACCGCATAAAAACAAGCAATCCAAAGGCATTAAATAACATTGTCAAATGCATTTTCGACGTTAATATGCCTTTTCTAACCCTAAATTTAATGTATGCATTTCAAAGTGAGGATTACACCTAGATATTTTCTAACTTGTACGCTTACTCTTAGGAGTTCTCTTTCCCTGTTGCTAGAGTTATTTCTTCTTAGTTCTTTCTCTCCTAGTTATTCTCCGAGGACTGCATTTAACCATCTATGAACTTCTAAGACTGATTCCTTTTTCTATAAGTAAACTTAGATAAAACACATTAGAAAAGATAAACATGTTACAACCAAATTCAAGGTAGTATGCCAAGTCAACTCCAAAAAAAGATGACAAGAAGTTCAAGAGATCCATATATTCTAAAAAAGATGGAAAGTGAAATATTCCCAAGCTATTCAACCTATGAAAGCAACTATTAAATTAGTATCAAATTATCAAACACTGATAGGAACAACTCTGATGCGAGAAGCCAGAGCTAATCAGAATTCAGCACCCGCCCCCATACTACATTGAGGGAGTAATGTCATGCTATTTAAATGCCAAATTCCACCATTAATGGTGTTTTGTCTCTTTGCACTCATGCCCAAAAACTTCAGATACAGAAATTCTGACTTCGCAACTCAAAAAACTAGAGGCTCCTATAGACCTTTAGACTTCAAAAGCCCCTCTTCAATAGGTCACATATTCTCTCTTAGTTTGAAGGAATGCAGCTAGAAAACTCTGAATATATGTCCAAGGTGCAACCTTGGACCATTTCCTTCAAACTTTCCATGTTAAAATTTCCATCTTCAAAACGGTCAAAGATCACCTCTTCTTTGAAACCTCATTCTTGAACTTCCTATCACTGTGTCAATTCTGAAAGCTTCAAGCCAAAGATATATCATAGCAAATGAAACGATTGTTGGCACTTGGTGAGTAATGTAATATCTTTTGATTGCAAGTGCTAAAACAAGGTTCATAATCTTATAAAATTAGTAACAATTCCCAGCAAAGTTGAACCAGGATCAGAAAATGATAATTATAAGACACATTGCATGTTAGAATGAATTGGTGCATCTTATTTAGAAAACAATTATAGGCGAACATCACAAACAAATAGATCATTAGCACCAAAAAGAGGAATTAGAAGCCAAAGTTTCTTTGAAACCTGTACAGGCAAGAAAAATACATTCATGAAAGAAGAATTGTATAGCTAATTGGCAATCATTCTAAACGTCACATTCAATTGTCATATCCAAGGACATCAGTATAACTGTATTGATGCAGTACTATTTGTATAAGTAGTTCTAGTCTGTTTTTTTTTTTTTCTTTTGTGGTCCAAATACATTGGGAAAATGAAACTGCATTTGGTAAGGCTTCTAACACCTATGATTCTATGAATATTAAGTAAAAGTGACGATCATTTACCAGTTAAATGTTATTCTGCAATATAGCACATAATTCATAGTATGATTACAAGTAGGAAGTATAATTTAGAGCAATTTACCAGGGATACAACTTATACAAGACAGGATAAAGACTATATATATGGATGCTAATAGACCATATCTTTGATAACGACAATTTGATTAACAGACAGTACCAAAATAAATAAAAGAAAGAAATAGGGTGGAATTCAGAGGGCAAACAAAGGAGTATAAAGAAATCAAGACAAGCAATAGAGAATGAGAAACAGAAAAGAAAGGAAGACTAACCCTCATGATAAAAGCTCCAAATCACAAAGTAAAAAAGAAAAAAGAAATATAGCATTCCACATTTTGCTTAAAAGTAAATTACGGAAATCAATGGTAATGGCCACCGGCAAAGGCCATACACAATGTTAATTACTAATCCTGAAATTGATATTAGAAAAGTTGTAAAGGGCTTAAGTTGACAGGATGAGCTCAGAGCACGCAACTCAGGAAGGGCAACAAGAAACAGGCAGTAATTCAAAGAGAATATTACGGAAGACCCGATTGGCACCTTAAATGTTTTACTCTGTGTCTGCTATAATTCAAAGTGTTGAATTGCCAATATGCACTCTAAACTTCGGTCAACAACAGTTCTCCTCTTGTGTCTACTAAGACTTTAAAAGATTATGCAAATGTCCAGCAACAAAGGATTGTGCTTACCAAACAATTATTGTCATCACTGTTTTAAGCCAAAACTGGTCTTCTTTCTTAATAATACAAACCCAAATAAAATAAACTAAAAATTGTAGAACATTAGTGTTTTATCAACCATACACAAATATCTATCTACTTCCTCGTTTCCCTACTTTGGAAGTTATTATGGTTAACACCACATGCCAGCATTAAAACACACTAATGCCTATGTCACATATCCTAGAGATTTTTGGGAAAAACATTATTGTAACAACTCTTTCAATTTCTTCTTTTCTCACTTTGGTTTCTCTTTTTCTTTTTTTATGAGAAACAGAGGGATTTTATTAACATGCCATAGAAGTACAAAATATAGTGGCCAAGCTGTCCACTGGAATGCATAAAAGACCCATAACCAACCAGCTACTCAACAGCATAGAGTAAACAACGTCCAATAGTAATCTGAGTATAATAATTACAAAAAAGCTAAGCTAGATAAAGAGAGTGAATAAGGACAAAAGGTATTCTGCTGAAAATCCAAGGAAATTTGAGCCCATTGAAGTTCAAAAACGAAACCCTATCCCACAATCAATCCATTTCTCCCCCTAAATTTTTAAAATCCTTTTATTTATTACACCCACACTATCCAAAAAATATCCATAAAAAATATATATTAACAAAAAAAATCTACAAGGTTTTTACCCTTTTGTGTTCCTCCAAAAACAAATTGCTTCTCAACAAACAGATGCATAATTTGGACATCATTAAAACCACATTAGCTTCCAAAGCCAGTTTGTGTGCTAAAGCTTTAATGTAACAGTGCTAGAAAAGAATAGATGATCTATACATCCAGGTTTCTTTTGCACATGACGCACCAATTTCGGGCTAGACTAGGCCTCGAATAATGTCACAAGTATTGGCTCCATCGTGATCATTAATCCAGCCCTATATGATAAAAATGGGGACTGGACAAATATGATGTGAATGCGTGTGGCGAGTGATTGGTACCCTAAACCCGTAAACTAAGCGATACCAACACATTATGTAATAAGTAGTCACTTACACAGTACAACCCAGGTTTATGTATCAAAGATTCAAAACATATTATCCAGATATGGTTGCAAGCTCATGGTCCTGACACTAGAAAAGAAAAATCCCTCGGTACTGATCCAGCTTAGAGAGCAATGTAAACTACTGCTAATTCAACATGGCACCAGTGAGCATGAATAGTATAAACAAATCAACCTAATGGTCGCTTAGTAGTGGAAAATTTTATATTTCCCAACTAGCTCCTGACTTTCACATTGCAACAAACTGAACAAGTAGCTGTTAATCGAATAATTTGGTCACTTCAAGACACCGGCAAGAAAAACATCTGACAAAAGGTAACTGCGGGACAAAATCACCAGTTTTCCCAGCCAGTTCATCTATCCATAATTTTCACTGGCCACCTAAATCTTTACTTAAAGGCTTTATCCTGGATTGTTGGATTTTATTTGTTCCTAAACTACAGCATCAAATAAACAATCTTTAGACACACAAGACAAACACTTTGCATCTTTAACTAGAATATCCACTGAACGTGGAGAAAGCAAAAATTTTACAACAACTTCTAATGTCCCATATAGATGTGTAAACCATACTAGTTAACAGAAGGGAGCAATCATATCCATTCGCACACTCCTAATAAATGATTATTTCTTTTTTTCCTTTTTTATCTTTTTGGTAAATTATGTCCCTAATGAATGCTATACGAATTAAAAGATATTGATGATCATAAGGAAAGTATTTTAACCTTTTTTAGCAAGTCCACATCATCCGTCCTAGCCTTTTTTTCATATCCAGGTGGGGGAAATGGAAAGCAGCGCGACATTGCACAAAATCCCACAATACAAAACACCAGTGCCTTCCAAGGAAGAAAACTCCTGAATTAGTTTCCAGTAGCACTGTTCCAGAAAGGGAACGAACCAGCAACTATGCTCCTGTCCATGCACCATGTCCCCGCATTCATTCCCAGCATCAAAAATCCTCCATGAGCTTCTCAGTAACTCCAACAGGCACTTGAACCAATCCTTAATCGTTTCCACACAGAAGTGCAGGCAGGCAGGCAAAGCAATAACACACACAATTCACTTTAAAAACCAAGGCTCAGCAAAAAGCACCAGCTCAGTGGAAACAACAGCAACACAAAACTGAACTAAAATCCAACAAAACCCAGATAAACTAACTACTTCAAAAGCTATCTGTCAAGAACTTTGTTCAAACTAAGTTAAGCCAAACGGTTTTTTGAGAAACGAAAACGGTCCACTACAATCCAATCCTCTGTGTTGCCTTCTGGACCAATACAGAATCATCAGCTCCTCCTTATAACCCAAAACCAAATTCATTCCCAGCTGAAGATCAAGCACGCAAAAACAGCAAAACCCCAGAAGTCCTTTTGCTCCGAAATTCTGATCCCACAAGTCTCTGATCACTCATGTACCGAATTCAGTATGTGCAATCTTCTTCCATGCTCAGAAAAACAATAACTCCCATAATTCTATGCAATCTCAGAGTTCATGTACTCAACCCAGCTCTGGCAAATCCACAATTCCGTTCCGGCGAAAGATCGGAGCTTATGCTCATTCTATGAGCGGCCGCGATTATTCCAATATCTGTCAGTTCCTCAAATGTGCTCTGATCAAACCCTAATTAGTCCAAAACAGCAGAATTGGACGAGTACCCAGTTGCGATCCAACGAAACCCTAAAAAATCCACCAAGACAAAGCATGCTCTGAGCAAAATACCCACTATCAAAAACCCTAATCCCGCTCCTCAAAAAATTCTGGGAAAAAATCAAAATTTCAAAAAACCAAAAAACAAAAAAAATATAAGGACAATCAAGCACTTTACAATTTTAAGTTTTATTTCGTGGGTCGAAGCCAATTTAAAGAGGTTATCGATCAAAAGGGCTAAAGAGAGTGGATTCAAAGCGTTAATGGGAAAATCTGTGAAATCCAAATTCTGGGTATTTGAGATACAACTGGTGAGATTACCTTGTCCACTACAAAGTGGGCAATGCAGAATGACAAAGGAGATCTCTCTCTTTGTCTTTCTCTCTAAAGATGAGTGATTTACAAGAAGAAAAGGCAAGAAAGAAGAATGGGATAGATGAGAGAGCAGTTTTCTTCTGTGTATTTGCTCTAGTTTCTCTCAGAGTCTTGAGTCTTCTAGTGGTTGTATTTTTATGGTGGTGTCTCTGTCTCTGTCTCTGTCTGAGTCTGAGTCTGTCTGAGCCTCTCTCTCTCTCTGTGTTATTGTTGTTGTGTGGTTTTGGGGTTCTCTGTATTTTCTTCTCTCTCTGTGTTCTCTTCTCTCTCTCCCAAGTAGGCTATTTTGCGTTCGGAAGTTACACGCGAGAATTGAGAGAAAGAAAGGGGCAGTAAAGGGAGGTTCAAGCACATATATAATAAATTGGTGAGGCACTACACAACACATGGTTTCCAGAGAGAGAAAATTGATAAATTGATATTTGAAACTCCATCCAAATCTAAGTCCCACGCTCTCTATGCATTGTTTGGGTCCCAAATTTTTTGCATTGGAGACTAGTTTTTGGAAATAGAGTCAAAAGCCAAGCCAAGCTAAGCTGTGTATTAAGGTGCTCAAGTTTGAATTGATTTATTTAATTTGTCCAGCTTAAATCAAGTCCAAGATTTGATGAGTTGTACATAAGTTGGATGCCTCTTTCCAAACTTGATTTTTCTTTGGTTTAGCTTTGTTTGTGGCACAATTTCAACACTTAAATAACCAACATTGAGTTAAAAACTCAAATTTTCACTCAAAATTATGATGAAACAAATAATATAAATTATATGCATATATATTAGAAATATAAATGTGTAGTGAAGAAATAAAGTTACTGTAATTTAAGGGGTTAAAAATATCATTATTGCGGTAAGTATCATGAATTAAGTTCAAATAATTCAAGCTTAAGTTGAGCTCGAACTATCCTATAACAAAAAAATACTTAGGCAAAGACAATTGTCAATTACTCCCTCCTTTACATAATGTTGAGAGTGAGACTAAATATGGGAATCTATTTTTCAATTAAATATGAGATAAAATACACACACAACAAATCAATTAAAAATTATTCTTCCTATGTATATATACATGATACTTTTGACAAGTAAATTTTGAAGTATAACCTAATAATCCTAACACAAACCACCTAAACCTAAGGTCTAATATTATCTTTATTTCCTCAGGGGTCTAAGTGAAGTCTAAATAGTCCTCTAATCTAATTCTTTTTTTAATTTATCAACCCTCTAAAGAGCTAATTCAAATCATTAATGAAATATTCTCACCTTTTATGTAGAGAATATTTGTTGGTGTGAACGCAGCACGCGCTATGGACACGGGTATGGAGAGCAAAACCGCGGCTACAAAAAGGAGGGTTTTAGTGTGAGAAGTTATTTGGGTATTTGCCTAAGCAGTAAGCACATGCTGTTGGTTCCCTCACCATCTTCTCTCTCTCCCTCGCTCTCTCTCTCTGAGTAGTCCACTGCTTCTGCATCTCCACGTGGCACCACCCTAACCTATCACACCTCTATCTGTCCATACACGTGTCACTCCATCACTGCCCTCCTAAATCAGAAGATAATTGACCGTCCATGGCAACAAAAGCAGTGCTTCCATGAAGCACACGCCAACCAAATTGATATGCCTTGCCAGTCTTGCCTGCATGGGCAAATGGGCAATCCCATGCTTTGAAGCCAAAAGATTTTGCTTGCCAAGTGACTTTTCACTTGCTTAAGCACTTGGTATATGCCTATGTGGGAATAGGGTTTTGTTCTTTAAGGAACAGTACCCACCTAGTAGCCCTTAAGCTGATTTTGTTACGGTCGGTTGTGTCTAACCGCATGAGCAAATCCTAATCGTAGATGAAGACTCATAGGACTAGTAGTTTTCAATGGAATTTTGTTGAGTTCATTCGTGTCTGATGATCGCATGAGCAAATCCTCACCACATGCATCTACGGTTAAAATCCCTTCAAGCGCAACTGACTGTAACCCCTTTTATTTTATCATGAACTTTTTTAGATTGGATGTGCAAAAGAAGAAATTGAATGAGTTGGAATGGTAAGAATTTGGATATAGGTGTGTATGGGAATTGGAATCTCTGTTTATGATTTAAGAGATAAGGTACTAAGGTCATCATGCGAGCAGGAGGAGTAAAGTAATTGAGTTACCAGATAAGGAATGAATTGAAATGGCATTTAGAGAAGATAATATACCAAAAAGAAGATGTTGCCAAATGAAGAGGTAGATGCCCCCAATCACTGTGAAGACATGCATGTGAGATGAGCTAAGGTGAGCTCCATAAAGTGTGAAACAATGTACTAAAATGTTATCTCAACATAAGAGTGAGTGATAGTTTGGTTTTTAAGAAAGGAATTGAATTTGGCGTCATATAATTTCTCTGTTTTTTGATATCTCTCATTGGTAATTATAAATTGGGATTATATTTTCTTACGGAAGATTTTCCAATAAGTATTTAAGTTAAGAGTTGGTTACATACTTCTAATCTCGCCCTGAATCTAAAAGACTACCAACGCATTTAATGAATGCAATCTCACGCCCAAGATTAGAAGTTTGTAATCAATCTGTAACATAAAATACTTATTGCAGAATCTTCCCTTTTCTTCCATCCGCCTCTTGTAGATTTTTCCTTTTTTTTCTACTTGATTTCTTTTAAGATTCATTTGGACTTGATGTCCTCCAAGGTTAATGCATAATAGATAGTACGTTACATACAACCCTTAAATTAATGGAGATCAAAATCGTTTGATTAAGCAATTTGAAGTGGACTAGTGTTCTTTTTTCTTGTAAGGTATTCTTTGATTGAGCTTTTGCTTTTAGATTGATTAGGAATTGGTTTTGTGATGGTTTTGAGCTCGATTATGTTGATCTTGTTGTGATCTGAATAATTATTGATTAGACATGTAATTCATGTATTCTTCTATTGAGGTTCTACTCTTTTGTTTAGTATTTTGTTTGATTTAGTATTTTTTTTTTTTAGGTTGATTTTGTTGTGTACAAATAAGGGTCTGTCAATGTTTTTGTAAAACCATTTTCGTAAAATATTTCAACAACAAAAAATAAGAAAACAAATTTGTATTCAAGATTAGAGAATGCGTATGATGCTTGATGAGAAAATAATTTCATAAAACAAAAATAATGAAATTTATCTGGGTACTGAGATGTGAAAATGACATAAATAATGAATATGCCTTAGGCATTAGTATTTTGAAAACCATTTTCTAAAACAAAATATTATCATACATGAAATACATAACATATTTTTCTTAGTCTTGGTAATGTACCACTCAAATCAATTTAATTGTACAAATAAAGTAATTAGGAGGAAGGTCAAATTAGAGATGCTGGAGTACATAGAAATAATGAGGCTGAATGGCTGAAACGATTTGCTGCCGATCTTGGAAAAGGTTCAGTTTTGCAGGCAGAAGAAGTTTGGGATCTGTATTAAAATGGCTAATCAGTCTGAACTATTTTCAAATAGCTCATGGATCAGTGTTCTCACCCCTTCTTTTTGTTGCAACTTTATTTGGGTGTTACTTTCTCCAAATCTCGACTCTCATACATTGTCAGATTTGAGGGGGAGTGACACCGCTACTCATCTATTCCGCTGCAATTTAACCACCTATCTGCCATGGCTGATTCTGCTACATCTGAGCGTCAGTCAGCTTCTGTTTCTTAAGTGCCGCTTTTCTTATGGTTCCATCGACCCCTTCTCTTCAGGGGGAGAGGGGGAGTGAAGAGAAGTTGTGTTCTGCCTTATCTATTACCGTGCTAACAGGATGTCAAACAAAGCAGGGCAAATATTCAGATATGCTCAGATTATTCTTCTCTAATATGGATGTATTTATATAAGTACAACCCTAAATAAAATAGGAAATATATCTAAATTACAATAGGAAGTAAATCTCTATTACAATAGGACTAAATAATAATTGGTAAGTAACCAAAATTCTAATGAAATAAGGAACCAAAATCCTAACTAAGTAAGGACTCGCCAACACTCCCCCTCAAGTTGGGGCAAAGATATTTCGCATGCCCAACTTGACAAGCGAGTCGCAGAACACCATACTTGAGAAGCAGCAATTTAGAGAAGGTCTTTTCGTCATCCACGAGTGAAACAAGTGACAAACTAAAGCAAAGTTCGCAGCGGAAACACAAGAGCAAACCTTAAAAAAATAGGGCACATAACAGAACACAAAAACCCTGCGAACATGGCAAAGGATACAGAAACCCTGTGAACACGGCAAAAGCAAAGGCAACCAAACCCTAAAAATAGGGTAAGGCAAGGTAAGGCAAATAAAGGCCAAGCAAAGGCAAGGTGGCAAGGCATGGCAAAGAAAGCCCAGATAGGGCAACAAAACCCTAAAAATAAGGTAAGGCACTACAAAGGTAAAGCCTTACCTTAAAAATAAGGTAAGGCAAGGCAAAGAAAGTCAAGAGTAAAGGCAAGGTCAATGGGCATGACCACAGCGGAAACAAACTAGCAAAGGCATGAGCAACAATACTGGCACCATAACAGATAGGAGCAAGGGGTATTTCTATTTAAACTACTTTATCTTTGGCCCTTTGGCCGATGTGGGACAACAATGAGTTCCAACACTCCCCCGCACGTGAGACCCCATTTTTATGGGTCACACGTGGAGATCCACATCGGCAACCACGTGGAGCCATGTAGGGACTCACCCATCACGCGGGGCCAAAAGGGGACACACCCATCACGTGGCACCTTTGGCCTACGTGGAGCCAAACGGGGACCCACCCATCACGTGGCAATATGGCCCTGCAACCAGGCTCTGATACCATGTCAAACAAAGTAGGGCAAATATTCAGATATGCTCATATTATTATTCTTCTCCAATATGGAGGTATTTATATAAGTACAACCCTAAATAAAATAGGAAATATATCTAAATTACAATAGGAAGTAAATCTCTATTACAATAGAACTAAATAATAATTGGCAAGTAACCAAAATTCTAATGAAATAAGGAACCAAAATCCTAACTAAGTAAGGACTCGCCAACACTTTTGTCTTAGTGAGGTGAGGGCTACATAAGGTTTTATGAGTGAAGGATTTTATATAGCCCAACTTGCTTGAATTGGACTCTATGGGTTGCCATATGCTTGAGTCAGATTCTTCTAGTATCGGTAGTTTATTGTTTGCAAGAGGGGATTGAGGGCCTAGTCTCGTGGCTCGGTCTGGATTGACTAATGTTATGGCTGCTATTTAATGAAGGTATAAATGCTAGAGCTAAACTTATTATATATACTTTATTGTATAAGTCTCATATAATGGGGTGAGACTCTTAGAGCACCTCCAGCGCTCCTCTTTTGCCTGGGCAGAGGGGGCCTGGGCCTAGCAA